CCCTAGCTCCTGATTATGAACCTGTCCTTATTTCAAAGGTTCATTAATACACATTACTATTGTATTGGGACTGATACTACCTATCCTCAATATAGAGGTATCCAGAATAGACACTGTATGGTAATTAGGTATTCTTAGAAAATTGTACATGTACATGTACAATTTTCTTAATATGGCTGTAACTTGAAAAATTGAAGTCGGAAGCAGCTCAAACTTTCTGCACAGCACAGCATCTGAGTCCCTTAATATTTGCCCTCAGGCTCAGCTTAGCCTCAAGAAGATATCTCAGTTTTCAGGTATTAACATGTACATTACTTATACACACACACACACACACATCCAGACATATACAAGTACATTAAATTTCTATTACCTTCAATATCTTAACTAACAAAAGGCTTCACATTAGCTTAGATTATAACAATTCAATTCTCTTTGATTAATCAATTTCTTTAGCTCCAATGAATTGGTCGGATCTCCAGGCTACAATAATAATAATAATAATACGTAAAATACCAAATAATTGACAGCAGGTGGTGAATTGACTTTATAATTAGAGCTATAACTTACAAAATTTTGTTTTGTTTAATATACATGTACACCAGACTGCCTTTATTCTTCAATAGAGTGTATGTTTCCAATAGCCATAGTTTATCCAATGGTGAGTATTGAGGTATTAATTGAATTATTCTTGTTCCTACTGGGAATCAATGACTATAAATAAAATAATAATTAATAATAATAATAACAAGAGTTTATTATAATTATAAAAATATAAACTCTTATAATAAGTAGTCTCTCCTATCTATACTGTATTAGACTAGTACAGTAAATCTCTCCTTTAGCCATTCTTGATTGAAAATGTACCCTGTACTACAGTATATATATACATGTAGTACAGGCTAGGGTATACTGTAGCACAATATTTGAGCAACTTTAAAAATTTGTAAAAATCCAATTTTTATCAGAACCAGCCCAAACTTAAAACACAAGTACATGTATATGTACATGCATCAGAAAAATAATAAAATGCAGAATTCACTTCTTTTCAGTTTTTGCAAAATTTGGCCCAAGACCATGTTCTTTTACTCAATTTTGGAGCAATTAAAAAATTCGTAAAAATCAATTTTGATCGAAATCAGCTCAAACTTTCTACACAACATAAATACAGTGTATATATATATCAGGAAATGTACATGTCCAGCAATGAGTGGACGCGGATTAGTATACTGAGCAATTATCTCCGTATACTACTGGTTGACTTTATACAGGGCAGGAATGGACATTTCCATTTACTAGGCTATATCTTTCTTCAGAATAAGTCTCATCAATTTGCGCACTTCAGTAGCTGTTCTCCATAATTATACCTGTGTTCCTGCTAAATATGACAGCACTTGGAGTAACTTTGTGTGGAACATTTGCAGATTAAAGATGAAGCAGTCAGTGCCGCCATTTTTGTCATTCCTTTATGTATGTATGATAATTTTTTTACTTTTTGAATGGTTATATCTAAATTTCAAACAATTTTTGACAAATTGCGCACTTATTTTGTGAAAGTACAACATTTTTACTGCCCAATCATGCAAAAAAGATAAAGAAATTCAAAACTTTGTTCGGTACTTTAGTCTTCTAAAGGTGAAATAATTTTAGTCGTCTCAGTGATAACCTCGGTGATAACGGGTGCAGCAACAAGAGTGAACAAGTGCTTTTCTCTTCTCATAGGAATAATAAAGTAAAACTAAGAGTGCTTAACAGCTACACAAGCAAATCATGTCTCTAGATCCTTTAAAGTAATAACAAGAAGGCCTTTTGTTAGTAGATGAGTCTTCTTGCGCCACGCCTGCCACTTTAACAATAGAATATGAAAAAACTACCATAACCAATTGCATTAAGTAGCATTCAAGAAGCTCCAAGTATCTAGTGAAGTCCCATCCATGAACCAGAAAGACGTTAGCAGGCTTTGTAGTGAAGCTTCCTATCAATCCACCATTGCTGAGCTGCCGTTGCTATGGTAATTCCAATGAATATCATTAAATTAATGCGACCGGAAGTCCCATTGCAATAGCTGGACATGAATAAAAAAGAGAATTCTCTCCTTTTTAATTTGCACAAGACCACGCATGTACTATAACAGTACAGAGACTTTTACTCAATTTCAAAGCAGCTTTAAAAATTTGTAAAAAATCTAATTTTGATTGAAACCAGCTCAAACTTTCTACACAACATTAAAAAATGCATTTAGAAAAAATGAATAAATGCCAGGAAAACTATTTGGTATGTCCTTTTCCCACTATTATAAACTATACAGGCACTATTAATAACAATATATACGGTATATACCACTGACCTAAACTGTATTAACAGGCTCCCTGTACTGTTTGAAAGAACTTTACAAGTTACTCACCTGGCCGCCATTTTATTACAAACCACGCCCACCACACATAATACACACCCCTATTGTCCTTTAATTTGAATTCAAAATTTAAAATAATGCACCAATATTCACATGACATACTGAGCAGTTTATAATAGCAACGTTTTCATAATAAATCCATACTAATACATCATCTTAAATAAAAAATTGTCAGTATAAAGACAATAGTTAGCTATTACTGTTATACAAGTTCATTATTATTATTATCATTGTTAAAAACATTACTATTATTACTAGTACTATTGCTACCATTACTTGTATGTTTTTACTATAATTATTATTATTGTGACTGGATTTTTTAATCAGTTCGTCTTCATCATTCTGTGACTGATCAACACTCTTTCTCAATTTTCTACGTCCTAAACAACAAAAAAATTCAAGATTGCCTATCACATAACAGTGTCCAGGTATACTGAAGTATCAGCTATATGCAGTAATTTCTATACTTACTGATGATGTGTTCAGCTGTTGGTTTGCCACTGTCACATTGTTTAAGAGCTTTAGCTAGTGTGGTCCAGGTTGCTCCTCCTTTATCATCTACACCATCAGCTCTCTGCAACCGCCATTTAACTATTACACTCTCTAAGACAGTCTTCAACTTTAGAGTAATTTGATTCTATATTTTTCAGTGTTGTATCATAGCTCAATCCCAGCTTCAATCCTAGATCCAGCCAACTGCTACTAGGAAAATGACCTTCCTTCAGATAAGTTAAGATTGCATCCAAATTACTTATATTGAGTGCTTGTGAATATCCTGAGTCTATAAAATAGTTTGGTAAACAGAGCTTTATGATATTTATTAACAAAGTGACTGTATTTATAATTTTGTAATGCTGGTTAATAAATCCCATAGGCTACACTAATGTGTATAACTGAGTACACATGACAATTCTGATCATGTAACTGACTAACCTGATGATGACATAGTTCTAAGTGGTCTAATAATTATAATCTCCATTTGTTCCTGTACTCCTTTCAATGGTACAGAGTAACTCAAGTTAGGTACAGTATGGGGACTATTCTCAGCATATATTGATACCAGGCAAGATGGAGGAATTGTAGTTTTAGTACTATTGTCGCCAAGACCAAGTATATCACGTTCTCGAATCTATTATATCATAAGTTAATAAAAATAGTGAATTTCACAATAAAAGTGACATACCAGACAAGGATTCTTATGAGGACTAACAGTCCAGCCAGTTGTTGGCTTCAACTGTGGACCATCAAAAATCAATTGTAAATATTTCAGAGAAGGATTAAACTGAAACGTAAAATCTTCATCTATTTCTGGATTAGAGTATCTCTTGTTTATATACTGTATATGCAATAACATGCAAATAATGAATTAAATGATCTTAAATGGTTACTTGATGTAAAACATTCAAATCTCTAGCAGCAGTGAATCTCATTAAATCTCTTCTCTCTTCTCTTTGATAAAACACTTGTCCAGCATACACTGTAGCTTCAGGTATACCAGTGGAATGAGTAGATACAACTGTAAATGAAAGTGAATTTGTTACTAATCAATTTCAATATTCATACACTCACTAGTTTTAGATTGTGATGTACTTAATTCAGAGTCTTCAGTACAATCCACTGGCTCCTTCAACCCATTCCCTTCCTCCTCTCTATCACTCCTTCCTACTCCACCTGCTTCTCCTTCTTGTCCTCCTGCTCCTTGTCCTTCTCTTTCTCCCTTACCCTCATCTCCTGAGTCTCCATCTCCTCTCCAT